TTATTATTTTATTATTTTATTATTTTATTATTTTATTATTTTATTATTTTATTATTTTATTATTTTATTATTTTATTATTTTATTATTTTATTATTTAAAACTAACCCATAGTAAGCGTCTAATCTTATATTTTGAAAAATTTATATTAAAATTTTAAAACCTATTATTATTATTATTAATTTTATTTTATTTTTTATATATTTTTATTATTTAATTATATTGTTTAATCTTTTATATTAAGCTAATTGTTATATTATATACTAATATTATATAATTATAAATATTTATATAAATAATATATTTTTAAGCCTAAATATATTACTAGTATAATATTAAAAACCCTCCTTTTAATATATAATATATTAAAGAATATAATATATATTAAACTACCTAATATATATCTGATATATATTAGACCTGTAAAATACATATCAGACCTATAAAATATATATTTAGGTAGAATAAATATATATTTTATTAAGTAAATATATAATTTATATTAAAATATATATATTAATTATAATTATATATTAAAAATTTAATATATATTATTTTAAATATAGGTTATATATATTATATATTATAAAACTAAATATATATATTTAAAAGTAAAATATATTAATTTAAATATAGTATTAGTACTATATTTTATTTTAATATAATATTATAATAATATTTATAATTAATATGATATTAGGTGTCAGGGCCAATGTTTTTCCGTTTAACATCACCAGAGCCAATCCACTATTGGTCCAGAGTTAGCGCCTTAGGTAACCTAAGCTTTGGCCTTAGGCCGCCAAGGCTTAATATATTTTATTATTATATTAGGTTATATAACTTAATTAGGTTATTAATATTTAGGGTTTTAGCTACTAGTTAAGTAAGGCTAAAATAGGCCTTAAGTATAGGCTAAAATAAAAACCCGTGTGTAAAGTATTTAAACCTATATTTATTTTTTAATTAAAAATAGCTTAAGTATAGCTTAAAGGTTTATAAAAGTGGCCTTAAGGCTAGCCTTTTTTAAAATTTTTAAGTAATTTTTTTAGTATTATTTAGCGGGGTTTAAAATACTTTATTTTTATTAATTAAATTTTTTTATTAATATTTTTATTATTAGTAAAGATTTTTAAAACTTATTAATTTTATAGTTAAAGTTACTTGCACCTATTACTTTTTAAACTTTTTTAATAATAATATTTTAAATTAAATTTTTAAAGGATAAGCAAAGGTGGTCCACAGGCATTTTAATTAAGATTTTTAAAACTTAAACTTAAATAATTAAAAAAGTATTTTTTTTTATTTATGCTTAAGGATTTTATTACTATTAAAAATAGTTAAAAAAAAATTTAACTTAAATAATTTAGTTTACTAGCTTAGTAAAGCACAGGATAAAATATATTTTTTATTTTATTATTTTATATTATTACTAAAACTTATTAATCTAAAATTTATTATAACTAAAGCTATTTTAAAGGGGAAGCAGCCTAAAATTATAATTTTTAACTTATTTATTTTTTAACCCTAATATAATTAGTATTATATATTAAAATTA